GGTCAATCGAGTCCCCGCGAAGGAGGGCATAGAGAAAGCGGGCTCGCCCCATGGGTAAGGAAGAAGTATGGGCTACGGGCCATAGGCTTGTGCACACAATACGTAACAAAACTTGGCGATCAGTGGGAAGAGAACCCGTGGCCATCGTCGTAGGCCCCCCGACAGACGGGGTGTTCAGAATCGTCGACCGAACAAGGGAGTCGGCCGGATCAGCAAAGGGTAAAATATAGGGGTACGTAGGATGGGTAATCTCTGGTATACCTAAGGCCTGAGCTACGGCAGAAGGTGTAACCCTAAAAGAATGACCCCGCAAAAATACCCTAAAGGACGACCCGTCAATATCGTGGATATTCGTATAGAATTCCTGAACTAGGAGAGGGGGTGGAGGTGATAGACCAACAAGCAAAGGCTCCCAACCCCGAGACACTAAGATGGCAGCTATATCTACGGGAAGGCCAGACAAAATTACCTCACGCTCCACGAGAACGGGGCGTAAGGAGAACTGGGAAGTGAAGACCTCCTGGGCTGTAGCAGAAATGAACCTTGATCGACTGTAAGAGGTCGAACCACTAGCCGGCTGGGAAGAGGGACGTGATCGCTTACGGGCCATCTGGCACACGTAAAGAGGCAAGAAATGAGTCACATGAAAAATGCACATGAAACGATGCAACGTGTCATGATACATCGTGCACACAAATGAGGCACAAAAGTGATACATCGAAAAATGCGATCGACCCTAAGAGCAAAGTCATCACGACTCGAAACCCAACTAAGAATATGCGTAAAGCCACAATGAAGCAAAAATGGAATGAGAAAAATACCCAAACAACCCTAAGGAAACAAGAAAATAGCTAGGACATTGCATCGAACACGTGGCGTGCGTCACTTCGGCATGAATTCCCAAGCACACACGAGACACACCCATGCAACCAAGCACAATTCCACAAACTAGGCAACATGCTCTTCAAAATGAAACAAACCACATGCAAATCGGAGTTACGGAATGCAAGAACGAAGTCGACGAACATGGAAGAAAAAACAAGAAACACACTTAAAATAACCAACAAAGAATCACACAATGCGAGCTAAACTTTGAATAAAAGTGCGAGAAATGGCAATCCATGAATCAAAGAGATGCAAGAGGCACAGAATCCATAAGAAGTAAGCAATGATGCTCACAAAACCGAACAAACATGCAGAAAATGCAAAAACACAAAAAAACGAAGAAAAAAACAAGAAAAACTACCTCAAATGATGTTCAAGATGGAATTTTGATGTTGAAATCGGGTGTAAGTGCTTCGAATCGATCAATTACCAAGAATATTTGAAGAAATTGCAACACAAAAGAAGAAATGTATGTAAATGTAGGGAGAAAAATGAAAAAATAATGCGCGAAATGAAGAATTAGAATTCAAATACCCACACCGTCGCTCGAGCGAGACGACAGCGAGACTCGAACGAAAACAACACTGTTATTTTCGCTAGAGCGAACGGCACGCGAGCCTCGAGCGAAAACTCAAATTTCAAAAATAGCACCACAATTTTGAATTTTTTTTAAAAAAATGGCAGAACTCTTAGAAAATTACAAAATTAACCCTGAATTTCAAAATTTTGAAATGTGGAACGAAACGAAGTATGTAACCGAATATGCAACCGAGCCCAACAATAAGCATAAAGTCACAAACCCAATAATCAGCATATATACAAAACATAAGTCCACACAGAGATCAAATTACCATGGAGTAAAGTGTATACAGACCAACACCGTGAAGAGTGCCACGTAGTCAATGCAAGCGAGACTCAAAACCTTAAATTAGTGAGAAAGGACACGTGAAAACAACCAAACAAAGGTGTATGTCGACCAAGTAACAATCAAATCCAATACCACGAGGACCCAAATCAAATAATACGATTGTCACACTTTTACTCCCCCTAACTGAATGATCTCATGTTTTTTTTTTTTTTTTTTTTTAACAAACAAACTTAAGTGCAATGCTATCCTCATTAGGCGACATAGATGACCCCCGTAACGAACGTTGGGCCGGTGACTCCCAAGTCAGACGACCTTAGGACACCAGGTTAAAAACCCCTCGGGCTTAATAGTTCGAGTCAAATAGGCCCCGAAGATAGTCAAAAGTTCGACAAAATACAATAAACGTGGGGAAAGACAATATGATTAGGTGACACTCGTCCCAGATCAAGTCAAATGGACACACAATCCTAAGAATAGAAGATCACCATCCCAAGTCTCACCCAAGCGGTCAAGACTCACATACAGGACTACAGTGTGTGCTGTGCAAAGATGAATGATGAGCCATATACCCAAAACTCCACAGACAACGTGAACAATGATGGAACCTCAGACTCATACATATGATGAATAATAGAGTTAGATTCTAAATGTAAATGCCAGAATCGAGACATAAAAGGCACACACATGAAAAATTTCCCTTTTTTTTTTTTATACATTTAAACACACAAACAAAAACAGCAAATGAAGATGAAACAAACAAACAAAAATGCATCACACATACATGGGTCACATGCAAAGTATGAAGTGACTAGGTGCAAATGTGATGCAAGCATGAATATGCAAGAACCCATGATCAAATAGGTGAGCTAACACCAACAGCTGTCCGAAGCGACTCAAACCTCAACCCATCTAGTGGTTTCGTAAGTAGATCAGCCAATTGATTATTAGTAGAAATATGGTCAAGAGAGACAACATGTGATTCAACAAGCTCTCGAATGAAATGATGTCGTATGTCAATATGTTTTGTTCGAGAGTGCTGAATGGGATTCTTAGAAATATTTATCGCACTCGTATTATCACAGAAAATAGTCATTGTCCCTTGAATAATCCCATAATCACTAAACATTTGTTTCATCCAGAGAAGCTGAGTACAGCAACTCCCTGCAACTATGTATTCGGCCTCTGCCGTGGATAAAGATATTAAATTTTGTTTCTTACTTAGCCAGGCTACGAGATTGCTACCCATGTAAAAACAACCCCCAGTCGTACTTTTCCTATCATCTGCATTTCCGGCCCAATCGGCGTCGAAGTATCCAGCCAAATCAAGATTGGAATTCCTAGAATAGAATATCCCTAGATCCACTGTACCACTGATATACCTGATTATGCGTCTAACAGAGCTTAGGTGTGACTCTTTTGGATCTGCCTGAAAGCGAGCACACACTCCTACACTAAAGGCAATGTCAGGCCTAGTAGCTGTGAAATAGAGAAGACTACCTATCATGCTACGATATAGGGAAGGATCTACACTCTTACCAGAAGGATCACGACCTAACTTTAAGCTAGTACTCATCGGTGTCCTAGTATGCTTCTTACTATCTAACCCAAATCGCTTAACAAGATCCTTAGCATACTTAGACTGTGAGATAAACAGTCCATCCTCTGTCTGTCGTACCTCAAGTCCAAGGAAATAACTTAATTCCCCAACCATACTCATCTCGAACTCTCTCTGCAGACACTCAGCAAACTCAAACGCTAAAGACTCAAGAGGAGACCCAAAAATGATATCATCGACATAAATCTGAGCAATGGTAAAATTTTCTTCTATATGTCTAATGAATAAGGTCCTATCTGCACCACCTCGAGAGAACCCATGTTCTTCCAGATATGATGTAAGTCTCTCATACCAAGCTCTAGGAGCTTGCTTCAAACCATAGAGTGCTTTGTGAAGTTTGTAGACATAGTGAGGAAATTTTGGATCAACAAATCCCTTAGGTTTTTCCACATATACTTCTTCCTGAAGAAGTCCATTCAAGAAGGCACTCTTAACGTCCATTTGATGCAACTTGAACCCTAAGGAACATGCAACAGCAAGCAGAATCCTAATAGACTCAAGTCGTGCAACGGGGGCAAAAGTTTCATCAAAATCAATCCCCTCAACTTGAGTATACCCCTGAGCAACTAATCTCGCCTTATTCCTAGTTATAGTACCTTGGTCATCTGTCTTGTTCTTAAAGATCCACTTGGTACCAATAACATTACAATTTTCAGGTCTGGGAACTAAGATCCACACATTATTCCTAGCAAATTGATTTAGCTCCTCATGCATCGCATTCACCCAACACTCATCACTAAGGGCCTCTTCAACTTTCTTAGGCTCTACCTGAGAAACATAGCTAGTGTACGCTAGATTGTTCAGTACTCTCCTACGAAGTCTCATCCCTTCATCTAAATCCCCAATAATATTATCCTTAGGATGACTAGACTTAACCCTAGTCGATAGTTCCTTAGGATTTTTATCTAGATTTTGTGGAAGTATTTCCTTTTCAGATGTTTCAGGTTTCTTACGAGATGATTCAGGCACAGGTAGCTCAGTAGGATCACTTGAACTCAAAAGATCACCATCTTTATCACATTTTTCAGCACTCTCCCCCTCACTCACATCAATTTTAGCACTTCTACACACATAGTTAGAATTAGGTAATACCCCATAACAATTGTCAGATGTTCTAACCCCTTCAAGGACTACCCCACCGGATGAATCATACACGGTACATCTCTTCTGCACAAAACTAACCTCAAAGTCGTCGTCACAAATCTGACTAATGCTTAATAAATTTGACTTTAAACCTTCCACATAAAGCACATTAGAGATTACAGGTAAACCATGCATTTGTATAGTACCTTTGCCAAGAATAGGTGCAGAGCCCCCATCTCCAAAGGTAACCATACCACCATTACATTCATCAAGAGTAGTGAATAGAGCTTTATTACCACACATATGCCTAGAATATGCACTATCCAGGTACCACATATTAGAATTTTGAGCTTTTAAAGCAACATGAGCAACAAAACGGTTTTCTTGACTTGAAAGTCTACCTAGATCACCCTTTTTGACCCAAACCTTTTTAGAAGACAAAGTACTCTTAGTTAGCTTAGTAAGCATCTCAGTCAAATGACTAACCTGATTAGACAGAAAGCTAACCTGACTAGGAATGTTTTGATTTCTACGCTCATTGCCTAACTTTTAACATCTAGGCCTAGTGTGTCCTTGAGCTCCACAGTGGTGACAGGTGGGAATGAACCTAGGCTCAAAGGTACGTGTCTGTGGGTACCTAGTCCTGATGTTCCTACGTGATTGATGACTCTGTTCCCTAGGAACACTCTTACCCTTACTTGGACTCCTAACAGCATTAGACTTAGAGGCAGACACAAAGACAGTCTTAGATGGTCCAGCAACATGTGTATTTCCCTCAACATATCCTAGACCTCTCTTATCTCCCACTGGCTTATTCATTCCCAACAGGTTATCCAATTTATTAGTTCCACTTATGAATGTCTGAAGATGAGCATTAGATTTCTCCAATTCACTAGTCAAACTCTTAACCTTGTCTTCCAATTTCTCATTGACACACTTTAACTCACTACCACTCTTAAGTGAATCCTGAAGCTTACTACCCAGTTTCTCTTTTTCCCTTTCAAGTTCGTTAACCTTTTTAAGTAGGGCTTTATTGACCTTCTTTATTTTAAGACTCTCCTTAAACAACAGTTGATAAGCTTCTTGTAAGTCTATGTCATCCTCATCCTCATCCTCATTACCAGAATTATCGTTTGAATATTCTTCCTCAACCTTGTCACTTTCCTTATCAAATTCACTTTTAACAGTAGCCACAAATGCCATATAATTTCCTTCATCATCACTACTAGAGGATTCCTGCCTATCACTGGTCTCAGATTCACTATCAGTAAGTGAGACAACTAAGGCCCTATCTTTCCCTTTTCTTTGATTTTTCTTATAGCTAGGACACTCATTCCTATAGTGACCTATTCCTTAACACCCATGACATCTAACCAAACGTGGCTTCTCACTTGACCCTTTATTGTTAACTTTCTCAATTTTATCTTTTGTGAATCTGCTAGGGGCTCCACTCTTTCTATCCTGAGGCTTTCTCCTATTCTTGAGGACTTTTTGAAATTTCTTAACAAAGTATGCGATTTCCTCATCCCTAAGTGACTCAGTATCAGAAGATTCATCTTCTTTAATGGATTTTAGGGCTATGGACTTTCCTTTCTTATGTTGTGAGATAGTGAGTTCATTGGTTTGCAAGGATCCTACCAATTCTTCGATCTTAACTTCATCTAGGTACTTACTTTCCTCAATGGCAGTGACTTTAGGCCTAAATCTCTCAGGCAGAGATCTAAGTACTTTTCTCACAATCTTAGTCTCAGGAATTCTCTCACCTAGGTTGAAACTAGAGTTAATTATATCATTTAGTTTAGCGTAAAACTCAACAAAGGTTTCATCATCTTTCATCCTCACTTCTTCAAACCTAGAGGCTAGCATTTGCAATTTTGAGTTCTTTACTATCTTAGTTCCCTTATGTGTAGTTTCGAGAATGTCCAAAACCTCTTTAGCAGTTTCGCACATAGACACTCTCCTAAACTCTTCTGGAGATAGAGCCATGAATAATGCATGAATTCCCTTACTATTCCAATTACATGCAGCTAATTCATCTTTAGTCCACAGTGATATGTCAGTAAGGTTAATTGTTCCTGATACGGTAGTAGATGGAGGTTTCCAACCATTTTGAACGCTAATCCAAACATGCTCATCTAAGGACTTAAGGAACGCACGCATTCTAACCTTCCAATATGCATAATTACTTCCGTCGAAAAACGGAGGTACAGACAGTGATTGACTCATCTAGACAACTATGGGTCAGGACTCGAGATTATGCTCTGATACCACTTGAAAAACCTATCGTTCGACCCAACTAACACCTAGAGGGGGGTGAATAGGTGTTCTTGCGGAATTAAAAACTTTTTGAATAATTCATGCAACAAGTCACACAAATTATAATTTGTCCAGATTAATTCACGTGCTTTATCTACCTATGTTGGATTACCATTGACAAGTAAATAAATTAAAGCGGTAAAAACACAATAAACATGTTGACGGAGAAACCCAACTGGTTAAAAACTCCGGGCACAAGCCAGTAGAGATTCACTATTGTAGAAACCAACTTACAGCACACCAGACATCATTGACACTCTCAATTTTCTGACCTCCTTGCTGTATGAACTCAAGACCCTCCTGGATTTTGCAGATCCGTGCTAAATTCCAGCCTTGTATAATTTCTACCTCCCGTGAATCGCCACGCACTCCAGCTCTTCAAGCAAATCCTTCCTGGATATTCAAACTGATGATCTTCTGGAAGTTTAATTGGAGTTGTGAGACAGGTGTTTTGGTGTTTATGGATTTGATGTTTTTACTCAACAAGCCAAGGATTGGTATGAGAACAATGAAGGATTTCTTTGGCTTTTGATCCTTGGAGAGAATGATTTGGATTTTTGGTTGCCAAGGAATTGAAAGAATATTCAAAGTGTTTTCAATGTGAATATTCGGGTTAATGAACACGAATGGGACGTTTGGTATATATAGAGGTTGATATATGGTAATGTGGAGCGTCAAACATTCGCGAGCGTTTAAAATTAGAATTGGCTAGGTAACACGGTCGCTCGAGCGAGGTACTGGCGAGCCTCGAGCGACGTACCTTTATCTCGAGCGACGGCTCAGCGTGAGTCCAGCGAAGTTGGTTCTACAATTGTGGCTCGAGCGAGGTCAGGGAGAGACTCTAGCGAAATCAAAGCGCCTCTTGCATCTTTGAGGCATCCCACACAACCCTAGACCTAGCCTATAAACTTTAGTTAATTGCAACTCTAGTCCCTGAACTATTGGACATTGAAAATTTGGTCCTTGACTTTACAATTTTGACAATTTGGTCCTTGGTCACAGATTTGCCAATTACATATTTTCCTAACACATTGGATGGAGTGAAAAGGATGTTGCGGGCTGGGTGTTTTGGGGAGGACTGCTGTGGCCGCCAGCCTTTTGGCGATGACATCGACCATGGTGTGAATGGCCATGGGGAAGAAGGATGAGGGTGGGTGGTGGTGGTGATTTTTGTTTTTGTTTTTTTAATTTCTGATTTTTACTCATTATTGTATTTATATATCAATTTTTTAATTATCGCGTGCTTTATGATAATTTTGGGTGCATTTGAACCCATTTTATTTTGAAAAATATAGTGGATTGATGGAGAATGTGTAGTTAAAAAAGAAGAATTTTTTTTTTGGTTTACTTGTAATATTATTTTAACAAAAAATGTGTGGTTGAAAATGAGTACTGTAGAAAAAAATGTGGCAGAATGTAAAATAATGGGTGACAAACTAGGGACTTTGTCCAAATAATTTTGAAAGATGTTATAGATCCAAGGTAGAAAACAGGGAAAAAAGGGGACGCCACGCGTTGACAAGCAATTGGACAGTTTGATTTTTTTAAAAAACACATCCAATAAAAAGCATCCAAATTAGCTTGTTTTCTTGCTTCCTGTCTTCTGTAAGTGTTATGCCCTAAATCCAATCGATTTAGGTTGTAAACGCTTTTAATATATTTAATGCATTTGATTTTGGCGAGATCTATTATTTATTTAAATTAATTTTGTAATAAATATTATTAAATAATAGAATCCGAAGATCCAATTTTTAGGTAATCTGTTAATCACAAGGAGTTGTGATTGTGAGATACAAATTACATATAATTGGATCTTGAATAAACCATGGTCGTAAGTAATAACGAGATACGGATATCGTTAATACAGTTAGACCATCACGTGTGGCATTTCTTACTTGTGAAGTAAGTAGCTGATCTCACGAGCTAAAGTGTGGTGACACTTAAATGAACATGTGGATGTTTTGTTATAGAACAAAACATTGGAGACCCGCTAAGAGATTCCACATGGATAACTATCTGAGTGTCAGTGGCTAATCTCTAACGTTCGGTAGTGGAATTGATCCTTTGACTTGAAGTCGTCATAGTACCCTATATAAGGACAGTCATACTTTGGCGGTGTTGGATGTTGCTCTGAAAGGGGCCACTAATACGACATCGTTCGGGTACATCAAGAATCGTATGAAGGTTGTGATTGATCAATAAAGGATTCGTCACTCTTAGATAGTAGGAGATTATGATCTGCGTTTCATTCAATTAAGTCGATGATGAAATCCTTGGCCAAGATGTACTCATAAGTCGAAAATGAGTTTTCGATTTATATTGACTTAATAGTGGAATGAAAAATATGATCAATGATCGAGATTGACACAATTCCATATCTCGTAATTGATCGGATCATATTGACGAAGGGATAATAGTTTCGTGGTAAACGAACGAATTTGGTTTTGTCATACCACGTGACATTTCTCGTCACATGTATTGCCCTGACACATTGCTAGATGTCAATCAGGGACGCGAGTGTGAATTGACGATAAATTAAAAGGGTGTATTAATTTATCAATTTTGATTAGATCAAAGTAATATTTCACGACGTTAGGCATCGTGGTCGGGAACCTAATGGGTCGCACACAAAAGAGAATTGGAAGATTGCAAATTCTCAATTGGTTAATTTAACAATCGTTGGATAAATTAATTAATTGAATTTGTTATTTATAATCCCGAATTAATTAATTGGATTAATTAATTCACGGACCGGATTTAATTAATTGGATTAATTAAATATTGGACCGGACCGGGCCGGGTCCGTTTGGGTTTATATATATATATACAGCTAGGGTTTGAAGTCCATAAGGTTTTCATTATTCTTGCTGGCACAAGAGAGAAACCCTAGCAGTTGAAGTCTATTCTCTGTGTAGATTTCATTGGAGGCTGGACAATTGGACAGCTGTGGGAGGCAAATTCAAGCTGCTGGAAAGGAACAACGCGAAGGAGTTTGCAAATTACAAGAAAAGGTATATTTCTTATCACAGTTTTTATCTAAATACAAAGTTGAATCATGAATGGGAATTGAAACTTGTTAAATTCCGCTGTGCATGTTTAAGTAAATTCCCTACATCTTCAACCTTGTTCAAGGAGTTTAATTCAATAATTTTTAAGTGTGCATTGAAATGAGGAACAAATATTCATTCTATGTCATTCCAATGGAACTTTTGGATGAAAATCGTAATCAAGATAAAAATATTTTAATTGCTAGAATGTTAAATATAAGAATGCAACGAAAAAAAGGCGGAAATGTGGGACAATCCACAAATATTGAAAAATTGCAAGACAAATGAAATGTTGTCCAGTAAACAATACCACAGTCAATATAAACGCCTCATATAAAAAAATTCGATGAGAAGAAAATCATATTGTGGAATGATTATCCGAACTATATTTATACTAATAGAGGATGTGCCCTTTTACTTTGATTTAATTGGTTGACACATGCATCCATATATTCATTGAATTATTTGGTTGGCAAATAAATCAAATGCAACTTATGTTCACATAGAAGATACTCGTCAATTTACATGTACGTTACAAGTATTTCATTAATTGTTAGAGTCAAGTTATATTAATGTTTGGAAGAACCTATAAATAATTATGTACTCCAACATGTAAAATAGAAGTAAGCCACTAGTTATATAAGGCATCAAATGTTATAAGGTCCTGAATAATAGGACCTAACATTCCCTTGAACCTAAAAAAAAAAATTACTCTCAGAACTGTACCAAGACATTTTATTTACGCCTAAAATATATTGTGTAGCAATTTTGCACGTGAGTATGAGATTTACACTAGAACGTATTTTTCACTAAAGTAATAGATGGCTGATTAATTGGTTGGTTTTTTCGACACATTATAAGTTTAGTGTAAAAAAAATAAATTAAAGTTCAGTGGCCAAGGTGACAATAATTGCGAAGTAGAGTAAAAATTTGTGAAATTAACCCATAATATTGTGGAAAAGCAATTAAGAAATGGAAATATTTTCGATTGTGTAGAAAATCTCTAGTACTCCCCTCGAACATGAAAATTGAATACTCCCTGACATTATTTAATCAACATGTGTATTATTGATTCATGTATGAATCCCAATTAAATAGTTAAATCTCAATCATATAATATATATGTCAATTACTTTATACTCTAGGAGTACTAAAATATTTCCGTCCTCAAATTGATGCGTGAATATAGTGTCAAGCCCTTCCTCCAACCTTGTGATAATTGATTATCCACTTAATCTTCCTTTGTTTGGTTTTGGTGATCAATTTGCTACATGAATTTATTTACCAAATACCTATATGATTCATGCGGTCAGTCACATTTTCTTAAATTCAGAGACTGCTTAATAAAGAAAAAAAAAAAGGAAAACTTGACTAATATGTATCCATCCTTCTAACAATAATCTCAAAGAACTAGACAGACCATTATTTCAAACAACCCTAAACTTTTACCCATATTATTAGAATTTATATCCGTGTTTCAAAGATTCTTCAAACTTATCATACTAACATTTCAAAGAATTATCATCAGCGATCTTCAATTTTTAAGAATACAAAAAATTCAATTTTTTGAAATTGTTCAAACCTTAACTTAAATGAAAAATGAGCATCATCAATATATATAAGAAATAATCATTTCTGGAAGATTTTTCAGTTGAATGTGTTATCTCATCATTGAAATTTTCATCCAAGTTCTTCTTTCATGAATAATGCGTTTTTCATTAAATGTATGTTCAACTTTCATTTGCAGATTCAAATTCAATTTCTTGATATATTTAAAAAAAAAAAAAAAGAACACTTTCAAGTTATTAATTATAGCATTAGTAGAGATATCCTCAATTTACAGTATTTAGCTTACTTTTATCA